TTAAAAAAATTATGAATAGATAAATAGATCGTTAAATATCTCTTCCACCCACCCCCCCATCCCCATTCACGAGAAAAGAATGAAGATAATTATTAAAGAATGAAAAGAAGAATGTAAAATATCTATATCAAAAATTCGTGGCGCAACTGCAATTTATCCTCAAATATCTTTTTAACGGGTGAATCAATGTCACCCATACTTTGCACGGCAGTTTCTATCAATTTGTCTTTACTTAATCTTATTTTTCCACAACAGTTGAGGCTAGGTTTAAAAAATTGTTCTTCATAAATTTGTGTAAAATACTACAAATCTTTTTTACGCGGAAAATAGAGCTGTTCACAGCCCTTCCAGCTTTCTCTCCCACATTTTGTATATTATGTATATTGGTTACATCACAGCTCACCAATGATACCTTTTTAGTGGCCGAACTAGTTACAAGAAAATTATTTTATAATGAACACATTTTTGCACTAGGGTTTCTCAAAACATGCGTTCAATAAAGAGAATCTCGTGATTTAAAAAAAAGCATGACAGAATTGCTTTTAAAAGCGATAATTATCGTCCCAGCCAGCTGTAAAATTTTTAAAGGGGGGGGGGGGGGGGGGGGGCTACACCTGAAGGCTATCTCGCTTATTAGTTGACCGAATTTTATCAAATTTCGCACATATAACAAGCATAGTAGGGAGTTTTAAAATCCACAATCAAATTTGAGGAAAAAAAAGTTTAGTTTCCATCGGTACGGAGGCAAATTTGGATTACGTAGTGAATACCGCATTTATTTATTTTTTTATCTAAAAATGTGTCTGTTGTTGCTATTTATTTTTTCCTAAACGAATTAGAAATTTTTTAATGAATTTGTTCCTGAGGTAGTATTCAAGTTTGCGAAACATCCATAAAAATCCACACTTCAGACAGCACCATCAAAAATCTATTTTATATACATTGTATACAAAATGTTAACATTCCAATTGTTTGTGTTACATCTTTTCTTCATTCTGTGAACACTTCATGAAGATTGGATGAAAAACTGTGGAGTTATTCAAAAAAGTATAGAGAAAAATCGCGTTTTGAGAAAACGGCAGATAAAAAAAAATACAATATAGACTTTATGAGGAAATCGTGGTTATAAACATTCCCGGTATGGGGGAAAATCAGGCTTTTAAGTGTTCTTATGCAATGGAATAGTTGTAGGAGAGGCTGAGGAAGTTAAAAATGCCCACAACTACAACACAAATTCCATAGTTTTGAGCCGAAATGGGAGTTTAGGGGTGTAATCCCCCTTAAAATCAGTAGAAACCACCCACTAGAATGTTTTATTAGTATTTATTTAGAAATGTTCTAAGGTAAAGCTAACAGGTCTTTACAAAAATATTAATCTGTTAAGACAAATTGATACAAGTCACTGTGCAAAAGCTAGCGAGTTTATGTTCGATAGTTGAGGAGATATTTGACAATAAGTTACTCCAGGAACTTTTTACCACACTATTGATTGAATCTTTACGTGTCAAAAAAACAAAATTCAAAAGTAATGATATTGATAAGTTTTGCTCGTTTTCTCGTCTTCCCCTCCCTGTCTTTCCAAATTCTCACTATTTCTAAACATAACTTATGTAATTACTTTGTCAATCATTATGGCAGTAGTGATGAAGGATTTTCACATACACTTTTAATGGCAAAATGTTTATTTTCATTTAATACATTTTTCAATTAGCAAGTCACAATCGGGGTAGACTTAAACAAGTTTTTTCCTCTCTCTCTCTCTGTCCACCCAGCTGCTTCTTACAGCCCTGTGTGTGAGTCACCTCGGTTGTGTGAGAACAACAACAACGTGTGTGTCACCTGTACTGCTGATGGGATTCCTAGTTTATTCAGATGGGCCTATTCTTGCGCACTGTACACAACTAGCAATCCATCAGTAAGTATATTATTATTGTGCTGTGTCCTGAAAAATACTTTCCACCTGTTTCAAATATGCCTTCGTTGTTTCAAAAGTAGAAGAAGAAAGAACACACGCTTATTGAGCTGTGTATGAAGCGAAAGGACGACTTGTATCTAATAGTGCAGTGATATTGTAGTACGGGAGAGCGGGAGAACGGAAGATAGAGAAGCAAAACTCATTTTGAATAAACGAGAGAGAGAGAGAGAGAGAGAGAGAGAGA